CCCAGAGTAGTCTTGGTAATTATTTGGGCCCCTACATTACGTCCCAACAAGGTCTTGGGGTCTAAAGGCTTTAGGGCTTCGGGCTTCGGGCGTTGGGATGTAGGGCTTCGGGCTTAGGGGTTTAGGTGGTGAGGACTTCAGAGTCTCCAGGAACTTTTCGGTAAGAACCAAATTCTGCCCCAAACACTAAGGGTTAAGGGTTTAGGGTTTAGGGTTTAGGGTTAACTCACAACTCCTCATAACCTTGCAGCCAAAAGCGTACCTACTTATTAGGTCCCTACTAAGTCCCATGACCCTCCAAGTATGACAAGGTCCATGCCTTAGGGGCTGAGTACCTTAGCCGAAAAAAAGGTTAACCTTTTGACTTAATAGTAGGGTTATATAAGCCCCAAAAGGTTAAAGGTTACCTACTCAGCCCCTAAGATGCTGCCCCAAGCATTAACTCACAACTCCTCGTGACCTTGCAGCCGAAAGCCTACGTACTTATTAGGTACTGTAGGGCTCTTCTGGCCTGAAAATCATGCATCGCTGTCGGGTTTAGGGCTAGGGGTTTGCCGTTTCGGGTCTGGGCTTCAGGTTTTGTTCAGGGTGTTGGCTTTCGGCTTTTGCACGGTTAAGGGTTTAGGGTTACGGGTTTCGGGTTAAAGGTTTTTTTTTTAAAGCTGAACTACGCCCTCCTGTGCAGTCAGACGCTGGCCAGTCAGGCCTTCAACTGTGAAACATCCTCAATCGGTCACAAAGACGAAAGACTTCACAGGACTACGGGACCTTTCACGGACTGTTGCCTGTACAGCAGCTTCAACACCAGTCGTCAAAAGATGTACATTGGAAGAGTGACCATCCGCTACGTTCGTTTCTACAGAGGGCATTTCAGATGACGACGTACATCCCGAGCTTCCAATCATCTCGGACTCAACATCCCTAGTATGGAAGGAAACATCCATGGCGCTAGCATCCACTGCCGACATACTCAAACTTGTAGACTGAGTCCCCAGGTTGGAGGTCTCACATGTGGCACACGGAAGAGTGGCCTCAGCAACTCCTAGCTCAACGCCCACGATCCCAGGTACATCACAACTATCTGCATGTCGGGGACAATGCGGAACAGGACACCCTGGTGAAGCATTGTGACGGTGTGCAGGCAGTAGAGGTACGGCAGGAGGACACCCACGAGCAGCTTCGTCACCATGTGCTGCAGGACGAAGAGGGACAGCAGAAGGACACCCATGTGCAACATTGTCACCAGGTGTCAGAGGTCGAGTTACAGCACGAACATGATCTGGATGATGAAGTTGTTCAGCAGCAGATCCACCCACCACAACATTGTCACTCGATGACTGAGCACCCCCTTCTTCACTGTGTTGACAACTCAAGGGGAGGAGCTCAGGGGATACTCGCATGTCCTCCACGACGTCATCCAAGACAAGGTGGCACTGTTCACCCACCGCTGCAAACAACCGCTGCACTTGTGCGGCCATCCTTTCACGAGCTGCGAACGTAGGCAATGAGGACGTCCCTTGGGTGCGATCCTGTAGTACTCGACTCACAACCTGAAGCGCGGCAACAAGGCGATCGAGACCATGGCAAGCAACCTGTAACGCCCATCGCGTAGAGCCAACATCGTTTCGAGACACATCTCCCATCCGATCAAGGAACTCCGCAATCTCCACACGGCAGTGGCGATACACCCACAGATCTTGAAGTTCTTCACCCTCACTACTGAGCAGCGGAAGCCTCTGCATCAGAGACCCTTCATCGGGAACATCCTCTTGTGCATTTCTTTCACCCTCATCCACAAGGACAGGTCCCTGTTGTAGGTCAGATTCTTCTGGAACACGTTGTGCTGGAACAGATACACCCTCTAGATCTCCTCGTTGGAGCGTCGCAGGTACATCCTCATCAGTAGAAGGGCGAGGTTCATCCCGACGTGGTGAGCGAGAACGTCCACGAGGTGGAGCACCAGACGACGCCGCGATAGTTGCCAAAACATCCCCCGTGTCATCTGTAACAACGCCCTCACGATTTGCATCACGTCCATCTGCATCACTTTCTTCATCTTCCGCATATCCATAGCTATTGGGCGGGAACACCCTCAGGTCGGAGGGCAGTTGGTCAGGATCCATCCAAGCCGACGCAAGCTCATCGTGCAACGTATCAAGAAAAGCTCGCGACATGGCAACAACCAGAGCGTGAGCCATTTGTACTGTTCCACCTCGAGCGTCGCCATCAGGAAGGATACATGGAACACCCCGAAAGCGACGCCGAATGACTGTGGCCAGAGCATCCTGCACCGCAATAGCACGCGTCGCTGCAAGGTCAACAACCCTAAGACACCATTCAACATCCTCAGGTCCAACATCCCCTTGTGGAGGTTCAGAGCGCTCAACACGACAGAGTTCAGCCAGAAACTGACCTAGGGCTCCAACGGTTTCTCGACGAACACCCATATTTGACAAACGTTGAGCTTCCTCAGGCTGAAGACTTTGCACTAAAGACGTTGTGTCATCACCCCGCGAAGTAGCTTCTCCGACAGCTTCAGGGGCACTGGCAACAATTGGACTCACATCCAAGATCGCCATATCATCCGCTGCACTGGCGCCGTGTGCACCCTCTGGCGACCTGCCACTAGAGCTGCCCACAACCCTGGGTGCTCTCCTTGTAGATGGACGGCTCGAGGACGAGCTGGAAGAAGAAGAGCTTCGTGATCTTGGGGACCTGCTTCGTTGTGCACGCCCATCACGTCCATCCGAAGTAGTAGGAGGTTGTGGGGGAGGCCTTGGTTGCTCCACACTCCTCATCTGAACATCCACCATCCAGTCGAGAATCCTTCCCATGACATGTGTCCACTGACGATTCCACGCAACACTTCTCGACCTCATCGCGGCGTGTGAAGGAGTTCGCATAACCGGGTAGTACGGCAAGGAACCACTCGTGCCCGTACGCGCCTGAAGTAGTTGTACAACCTCCTGAACATCACGACACCCCCGTTGCCAGGCTTGCACCCATTGGTCAAGTCCCCAGCGATATTCAGCCCCCGCATCATCCTGTTGATGTTGTTCGAGTGTTCGCATCATGTCTCGTAAGGCTCGTCGAAGATCATCTGGAACCTGGAGTTCATGCAAGATACGCTCTTCGGCTTCATTGAGCTGCATCATGTTCACCATGTCGATTTCCACATCCTCTGGCATTTGCATGAAACCAACGTCATCACCGTCCGTAGTGTAGTACACATCCTCGACTGCAGGCACTCCAAGCTGGGACCAGTCAACAACCATGACATCCCCAATCACCCAACGTGCCCAATCCTCCCATTGTTCGGCTGTCCATTGCGGTCTCTGTGCCTGACGTCGAACACCCCGAGGAGGATTTTGTACTAGGTTGAGGACAGCAGCGAATTGTGCCCGCGCTGCCGTTGCTTCTGGACTATCACGTGCTGACACACCCTTGTAGAAAGCAGCTGGGCGGAACGTCCCGTCATTCCATGAGTCCAAACGTCCCTGACGTGTCTGCTGGCGTACTGGTCCTTGTCCACCACGATGAGCACGTTCCTCAGACTCTGTGCGGCTCCTGCCATGCCACACCCAGTGTCTCCAGAACCCTTGTGGATGTGGACGATTATAAGGAGATCTGGCAGAGCTCGAAGGTCTGGACGAAGGCATAGGATCGGTGGAACTGGATGCCGGAGTGTCTTGAGCAACACCCCTTTGTGTTCCCGAACTTGCCGAAGACGCCCTATATGGAGCCTGCGAAGAGCTTCTACCACTTGTGGTTCGAGGTTCACCATCCCGTTGGTTTGCGAACTTTCTATCCCAGCTGTTCTGGTCATTGTCATTATCACCCCTCCTCCAATTGTCCCAGTCAGTAGAACGCCCCCATGTAGCACGACGCCAGTCAGGACCGTATCTCCCCCACCAGGCAGGGTCATCACGCTCACTAGCCCATGGATTGTGCCAGTCATCTTGTTGCCATTGTGCTCCCTGATGCCTTGTCCACCCTCCTCCATATGTATTTTGCCATCCATCGGTACTGTACCAACCATCTTGCCAATGCCGCTCCGGATCACGAACTGGTTCAGCATGACTTCGCCAATTTTGTGCAGGATCACGTCCAGGTACAGTATGACTGTTCCATCTACCATCATACCATTCTCGTTGAGGTTGTGCTCGAGGAGGACGTCCTTGATCTTGTGTTGAACTGGTATCACCCTGAGGATTGACTGGAGCATTTCCAGTATCTTCCCACCCAGCACCATTCTGTCCATCATGCCATCCACTTTGTCGTGCAGGAGTAGGTCGTTGATTGAGGTCAACATCCATTGGAGCATTCCCCACATCATCCTGCCCACCACCACTCTGCCCACCATACCAACCACTCGATCGTGCAGGAGAAGGACGTCCGTGACTATGCTCAACATTTCCGTCCCCTGAGCCTGGAGCGGGAGTGTCGTCTGCCCAATCGTACCACCCTTGTGCAGCATCATGTTGCGCGTTCCATGCATTGGCAATGTGCTCAGGGTATGGCTCAGGCTGCGGCTGGTAGTCAGCAGCATGGTCAGATGAAGTCGTAGTCGACGAGGTGCACGCCCACGTACAGCTTCCCTCAGCATTGAAAGAGGAGCTCCCTGAAGTAGGCATACTTGTAGTTGATGCCACCCAGGCTGTGGTAGAGTCTTCCGCATCATCTGAAGTGGCCGAACTTCGCAGGTAGCCAAAGAAGCCTCCCGCCAAGGTGGCCCAAAAGAGACAACGCCCCAGGCGCGCCATGGAGCGATAGATCGAATTGAGGTCGAAAGAGAGAGAAAACATCCACTTAGGCATAGAAAGTACTTCATATTCCTGGACAAGGTGGCTCACGAATGTCGATAAAGATCACGAGTTCGGGAACATCACACCGCTTCGAGCCCACGTAGCATACAGTCACAACCTGCTCCCGCATTCTCAGCTCTGCAAAGCTTCACTGGCAGGGGATCGCACTGACAAGACGAGGCACAAAGAAGATTCCTAAGAACTCACGTACTGGACGCCCACAACACCGAAGAAGTACATCATCACAGACCGGTGCTGGAGAGAACGAAATTTAACAACCAATTGATAGTTGTCGCCCTCGACACCATGGTACGTCCATGGCTTCAAGCCACCTGGGCAACAATTGTTTCCACCCTTCTCTGCACAGACTTGTTGTTTGCCAGTCAACACCCAGCACCGAGGCGAGAGAACGCTCAACATTCGCTGCTCTGAAGCACCTAGGATGGCGTAATCCACCAGCTTGTGGACGAACATCCTGTTGACGTTGCCACCATCCCAAGCTTCTCCAGCTGTGCATCAAAGCCGGAAGACACATGGAATCACCCTCAACCCGACGGCTCCAATGTCCCATTATTTGGAATTGAAGTCTCAAAATCTTGCTACTCCAACGCTCACGTCCACTCTGCTGAAGCCAATAGCGAACATCCCGAAGGGACCTGGCATTATAGCGAGTCCAATCCTCGTCAGGAAAGCGTTTACACCCAAAGATGAGCCGAAGAAGACGAAGCTGTAAGGAGTTCATGGCCGTCAAGTCATCCTGTTCCCAATGAACAGCTCCTGCACACCAGCTCCAACACCCATCGATGAGCATGCTCATGACCCGTGCCTTCTCATGCCTGGACCCTGGGCCACAAAGTATGTGCTTATTGGAGTGAAAGGCGGTCCACACCCTGGATTGTAGTTCTTTGGCCTGTTGGTTGGCAGCTGCATCCAAATCGAAGTCAAGTCCAAGCACACGTAGAGAGCTTCCAGGGGGAAGAAAGTCAATGCGGACGCCATCGATTGACATATATCGAACACCCTTGTAGTACTTAGAGCAGATCACCGCCGTCTTCTCAGCCGCCAAGGAGAGACCCAATTTCTTCAGCTCGGCAGAGATCATTTCGATGTTGGACGCAATTTTGCGTGGGTTTTCGCCCCAGACAAAGATGTCATCTTGGTAACACCCGATGTCGGCAGGCATGTCATCAACTGGTTGGGCGGGCTTCTTCCATGTCTTTCCACCCTTGAGTTGGTGGACAACATGTGCAATCATAAGCCCAAAGATTTCAGCTGATTCTGGGCTACCCTGGCGAATACCGCGATTGCTGCGGACATCCAAGGGAGCACCGCCTGGAGCACAACCAACAAGTCTGTTATCATCCAGGAGCTGAAGCATGAAGCGAAGCTCAGATGGACTCCGAACAAGGCCACAAAGAAAGTCTGCGACGGCCCTGCGATGAACAGTGTCAAAAGCAGCTCGAATGTCAAGTTTGACTGCCACCACCCCAAGTCTCCATTCTCGCGTCATATCCCGAAGTCGGCCACAAGCGCCATGTAAATCTGCACATCCACGGTTGCGTCCAGCACACGCCCGCGGTGAAGGTTGACGTATGTCTTCGAAGGACCTGGCCATAACAATTTTGGACATGGTCTTCATGGCTGCCGACGACATAGCAATGGGCCTAAGTTCATGTGCACCCTTCGGCCAACGAGTTTTAGGCAAAAGAGCGAGGAGGGATGTATTCCATTCCTCCGGGAGTACACCCGTATATAGGACTTCATTGAACAACCTGGCAAGCTGTTGAGGAGCGTGGGCATGAAGACAACGTAGAAGGTCCACCCCAATCTTGTCAGGGCCAAGTGACGCACTTGCTCGCATTTGGTTAAGCGCACAACCAACTTCAAGAGGCTGAATGGCCACAAAGTCATTGTCCCGGCAGTCCAGCTCACGAACTCGTCCGCAAAGCTCGGCATGCCAATCAAGCTGATCGTCGAAAACTTTCGTCTCGAGGTGCTTGCTTACGTCCTCACCTACCTCCTTTGCAGACTTGTCAGCTAGAAGGTAGCCCCACCAGTTGCGCACCCCTTTCTCACGTTTCATCTGACGACAGACGCTCCAACTTCCAGCAAGGATCGCCCCAATGCGGCTCTGTTGCCACTGACGTCGTTTATGTCGTCGCTCTTTGTGCACAGACTTCCAGAGGTTTTTTGCTTCAACACCCGAACTGTTTTTGGCTCTGGCAATCAAGGCGAGGGTCTCGGGATCGTCACGAAACTTCGCAGCTTTACGAGTGGAGGAGCAGGTCTCAGCCATGTTCTTGACATCATCCCATGTTTCAGGTACAAAGAGCGAGTCTGGCTGAGACACCCAGCGTGGTCGCCCATCTTGCCAACGTCCACCCTTGCTTTGCTGTATTTCAACCGTCATCTTAAGCATGGCATGGTCTGTGTTGATGTTGAATCTGACGTCCTCATCCACTTCGACTTCGCTGGTGCATATGCCACGCACGAGAAGGCAATCAATGTGCCTCCCTTCCCTGGACTCATCACGCGGATAGTGTGTCGGTTTCCATCTGTCATCCATGACTGGCGCAATCATCCTCAGGCGGAGGGCGGAAACCATCTCCAGGAACTTGTCAGTCTTACCTCCTCCATTGCAGACATTCACCCCGTCACGATCAAGAACCTCTGCTCGATTCCAGATAAGCTCAACATTGGAATCAACTCCGACAAGGTATGGTAGATTCTCATGCCACCAACGGAGCATGTTTTTGCATTCCACAACCGCTTCATAGTACTTGGCCATGGACACCCCTGTCGGGAGGTGAATGGAAGCAAGGACGACACGTTTAGAGTTGCGAAGACGAACCACCCAGGCTGCTGCAAACGTACTGGCCGTCCGATCAGTAACGCAGTCGAAGAGATCATGCGAAACAGCAACGGCAACTCCCCTCCATTGTGCTGGGCTTCGATGAGAAAGCCAAACAAAGTTGTCTGTGATTTGTTCATCCCATCCGGTATCTCCACGTGGTATTTCTTGGACACAAAGAAAATCAAGTGAGCTTGCAACCAAGTCTGTCTTGGACAGAGCTTGACCACCCAAATTCCAAGAAGCCATCTTGCGAAGGAAATGTTTTCCACCAGAAGGCTTCAAAGTAGACGATGCAATTGGGACATTGTTGCCTACGGCAAGAGAGTCCTCAAGTTCGGTGAAACGCCCAGAGTCTCGGCATCATAGTTCTCTTTCGAACGCCCCAAGGGCGAGATCAGAGCAAACTCCCAAGGCTCGAGCAACGGCATTGAGATCGACCCATCCCGAGGATAGCAACTTCACATCCTCATTATGTGTCGGTTGTCTGTGTGTTGTTGATCCCAATTTCCACTCGCCCATCCATACTGTGCCACTCGCCCAATCAATGTCGTACGATGCCTCTTCCGTCGCCTGCATATTGTGGGATTCGCGATTATGGGCTGCGTCACGTACCAAAGCCAAACACACCCTCCTCAACATGGAACCATGTGAACTTCTCCTCCTGGCCTCTCTCGTTTTGGTGAACTGCGCCCACATCGTACGATTTTCACCAGGTCCACCCGCAAGACGATGAGGAGTCTCCCGTAGTACTTGAATGGTTTTCCACATCCTTTCTCGGATCTGACTGTACTGCTCATCCTGACGAGGCTTGAAACGTAGCAATCCGAACGACCGACGGGGTCCAAAGACTGTGATCTCCTGAACATCCACAAGCTCTTTCACATTCTCCCTGGCAAGGCGCCGCAGACTCCTCTAGGATGACCTGTCGTTTGGTATCCTGCGGCCACCCACCAAGCACTAACGTTCGGCGATCTTCTTCGCTTAGTTCTTCACGTCCAGGAACGGGGAGATCACGCCCTTCAGAACCGCCGAAGTTAGGGGGAACATTGGCAGGATGTACTGCAGCACCTTGAGCACCTTTAGGAGGAAGAGGCCCATGCTTGTTACGGAACGCCATCCACGGATCAGGGTTAGCAGGACCCTCACCAACATTGCCACCCAGCGACGAACTACTTTGCAAAGCAACCACTTCCTTCTCCAACTTTGCCAATCTTGCACTGGTTTCACCCTGTCTCTTCTCATTTTGTGCAATTCTACCAAAGATGGCCTCCTTGTCAACCCTGCCCTTCTGGTTGTCTTTCTCAACAGCTGTTAAGCGAATCTGAACGTCCTGCTCGACTGAGGATATTCGTTGTTGAACTTCTTGCCAGTTATTGGTGAGCGTAGTGAAGTGTTCTTGTAACATGCTTCGGAGTTCTCGAGAACTGACGGGACGCTCTCCAGGGGATGATGCTCTACGTCCATTATCCAGTACTTCTCGATCACCCGCAGGTTCACGGGCACGCTTAGCTCTAGATGGACTGCCGCCAGTTCCACCCGTAATTTGTCCATCCACAGACATTGCCTGAGGGGCACCACGTTCAGCACGCACTCCTCTCTCACCACTCCCACCAACGGCAGCTAGATCTTCATCATCAGAATCACCCTCGATGAGCTCAGTGGGAGAACGAACTGCAGCTGACATATCACAAGGTCCTTCTTGGGCAGAATCACGTAGAAAGGCAAGGAGAAGAACACCCTAGGGACGCCCGAGAGGAACGGCGGAATCAAGTACGCAATGAAAAGGATGCACCCACGCAAGGAGAGCGACACAGCCAAACCGGGGAAGAATCTCAAAGGGTACACCCCCTGAACCGAAATGGGCTTGAGCCATAAGGTTTAGGGTTAAGGGTTTAGGGTTTGGTTGTAGGGTTTCAAGTTTCAGCCCTAAGCCGTGATGCCACTATCGGGGTGGGCCTTTGGTCAACAGGATCACAGACTCTGGACCCCGTTGCTCACCCCCCTGACAGCTCAGGGATGAAGAGTTGTGTATGACCATAGCTGGGACACTACACTCTGGGACACATGGGAGTTCGGATGAGGGGGACCCTCTGGGGTATATAGACCCTCTCAATAAGGTCGGCCCCTTTTAAGAGAGAGCCGGAAAGGTAGGGTTCAGAAGGGTCCCTCCCCTTTAAAGGGGGTCTCCCTAGGTACTACCTAGGACCCTAAGGGCCGCCCCCCTAAACCCTAAACCCTAAACCCTAAACCCTAAACCCTAAAACCCTAAACCCTAGGTACTACCTAGGACCCTAAGGGCCCTGGAGGATTCCGGCGCCTACCGGGGCTCCACAAGGCGAAACCCCCAACCTCCGCAAGGGAAGGTCGCCAGACCGAGGCCCTAAACCCCAAAAACCCAAAACCCCAAAACCCAAAACCGCAGACCCTAATCCCAAAACCCTGATCATGACCCTAATCCCAAAACCCTGATCATGACCCTAATCCCAAAACCCTAATCATGGCCCTAATCCCAAACCCCCAAAACCTCATCAATCATGGCCCTAATCCCAAACCCCAAAACCCCAAAACCTAAACCCCCCCGTGAAGTGTCTGGAGCTTCAAAGAAAAAACAGTAAACCAGAGCCCCAAGCTCCAAGCCCTTCAAAGCCCGAGTTCCGTGCTTTCTGGGCTCCTCCTCGCCGATGACGCTTTGAAACCTGCGGAAATTGGGGATTCGGTGCGTGAAGAAGGTTTATGAGACTGAAAGGGAGGTTTTCAGAGATTACCATTCATTCCTCCGACTGCTAGCTCAGGTTTAGGCAAGGGTTTGAGGTGGCTTTGGGGTGTAAGCTTCACGCCACGGCTTCAGAGAGCTTTGCGGGGCTCCGGGTCACAGAGGCTCCTTCACACTCAGAAGGTGCCGTAATATAGACTATTAGGGGGGGACACGTTTACTACATAATTCAGCCCGGCAAGTCCGTTCTGCCTAGGGGTTTAGCACGTAAGCCCCACCTTAAGAACCCAAAACCAACTTTTTTGTAGGTTCTTATTACCAACCCTAATATGGGATTTATAGGGGCCCTACAAAAAAGTAGGTTTTGGGTTCTTAAGCCCTAAACTCTAAACACGGAGGAGCCGCTCGAGCCCCGCGCCCTCCCCAGCGCCCGAACTTGTCGTAGGCGAGCTGGAACTCCACCAAAGCCTTCGCCGGACGTGGGTGGGTGGGTGGGTTTAGGGTTTAGGGTTTAGGGTTTAGGGTTTAGGGTTTAGGGTTTAGGGTTTAGGGAACTCGACCAAAGCCTTCGCCGGATGTGGGAAGTTGTCAAAATTATGGTCCCTTTTGGGGTACCCTAAATAATAGGTGCCGTATTATAATAAGGACCCAAAAAGGGACCATAATTTTGACAACCACCCATGTGGGTGGGGCCGTTTTAAATCTCAAATACTACGTCCGAAGACCCTGCATCTTACACTAGTATACTCTAGTCCCTAGGCCCTAAAACCCTAAAGCCCTAAACCCTAAAACCCTAAAGCCCTAAACTCCTAATACCCCAAACCCACAAACCTAAAACCCTAAACCCTAAAGCTCCTAAAGCCTCTAAACCCCTAAAACCCTAAAACCCCAAAGCCCTAAACCACCTAAATCCCCCAAAAACCCTAAACCCTATTCTACTACAAGAAGGCTTCGTTCCAACCTGAAGCTGAAAATCCCTTGCTTCCCAGACCACCCAGACGATCCGAAAAGTAGATCCCTTCATAAAAAGGTTCCTATGAAGTACCCTTTAGTAGCATAGGGTCCAAAATTCGGGGTTCTACTTTTTAGGGTCCAAAATTCGGGGTTCTACTTTTTAGGGTCCAAAATTCGGGGTTCTACTTTTTAGATCCTTCCGGGGGTCTGGGTTGGGGGCTGGAGCCTGGCTGACAAAAACCCGCTGGAGCCTGGTGGGCCGTTGAGCCGACTCCTTTAAGTGGGATAGGATAGGGGGCTTAGGCTTTAGGGTTTTAGGGCTTTGAGGGTTTAGGGCTTTAGGGATTTCAGGGTTTTAAGGGTTTAGGCTTTAAGGTTTTAGGGTTTTAAGGGTTAGGGCTTTTGGGTTTTAGGGTTTCAGGGTTTTGGGGTTTAGGGTTGAGCCTGAAACCTGCTCAGTCCTGACTCCTTTAATTAGGATAGGGGGCTTAGGCTTTGGGGTTTAGGCCGGTTAAGGGTTTAACGCTTAGGGTTTAGGGTGTGTAAGGGGAAAGCCACAACCCATCAAATTTGGCCCAATCTACATCTAAAAGCCGCGCCCCCTCACCTCTTTTTTCAGAATCGTACTTGCGCGGCAGTCTACAGGTAACGCGCCCCATAACGACTTTGAGCTGTCACCCAAGGCTCGCCAAGAAAAAGTTCATCATCCCAAAGCGTTCAGGATCGACAGTCTCGATCCAACCAACCCAAAGAGGCTAATACAGTTCTTCGAATCTCTGAATGCCACACTACTTCGGTCCACAAGGCAACGCGGGAGCCTTGAGTTTGATACCTATAGAGCCTATATGGGGGTTTTCGAAAATAAGGGGACCCTAACATAGTACCCTAGATAGTAGGATCCCTATTATAAGGATCCCCCAAATAAGGTACCCCGTATTTTCGGAAACTCCCATATAGGAATACTAATTCTAGTTCACTCACCGAACTTCCACCAAACAAGACTCCGAGACTTCACCGCCCCCCTCCCTCAAAGGCACGCCTGCTGGGCACGAACCCAGGGTTGCTTGGGGGTTGGAGTTAGATGTAGGGGCCTTAACAAGTAGAATGGGGTTTTGGGGTAAATTACAGTGTAATCATAATAAGGAGTCCCCAAAATAGTATAGGTAATTACAGTATTTAGGCTCCTCTCTTACCCAACCATGCCTCCTCCCGGGTGAAGATGCGATGTCCATTTCTCTTGTTCACCTGCGCCCACTTTCAGGGCTCTGGGGGGTCACAGGGTTGCGTGTCGTTTCGAGGTTTGGGGCTTGATGGTGCCCTGAATCCACTCCAGTGCGTAAGCATGTCTGCACCCCGAGCCCCTTATTAACCCTAAACCTTACGATTGGGCTTAGGGTTTAGGGTTTAGGGCTCTGCCCTTAAACATATAACCCCTACGCCCTCAAGTCCATAGTCGGCGAACTTGTGGAGTTTGCGATATCAGGATGCCGAGGGCAGCGGTTTTGGAGAGAAAGCCTTTTCGGAGCTTCCCAGCCCAGAAGGCTGATCTGGGAGTTTCCGAAAATTAGGGGTACCTTATTTGGGGGCCCTTATATTAAGGATCCTATCATTTAGGGTACTATGTTAGGGTCCCCTATTTTTGGAAACCCCCCATCTTCAAACCCTACCATGGAAGCGTTAACAATCACTAGAATGGTTTTAGGATACACTAAGCTCTCTCCCTCTCTCTCTCTATATATAAATAAATAAATAAATAATTACTGAACTAAATAAATAAAATATATAAATAAATAAATAATTACCGAACTAAGTAAATAAAAAATAAGTACATAAAAAAATAAATCAGTAAATCAATAAATAAAAAATTACGGACATAAATAAATAAGTAGAATTACATATTCGGGACTTTCGTCAGCATTGTTACTAATTCTTTTGACCTCTATCCCTAAACCCTAAACCCAAGTCAAGAAGATAGGGGCCGCTTCTTATCCGAAGTTCAGGGTTCACATTATAGAGTGTGGAGGATTTTGAAATTTGGGGTGTAGGATTTGGAGCTTTGGGCCAATGTTCACTTTAGGACTTAAGGGATTGTAGGGCTTTAAGTTTCGCGGCTGTTGTGGCACAAATATAACCAAGTCGTACACCCTAAAGCCCACCCCGCAAGGACCCCCCCCTGATGCGAGGTTCTGCAAAACCCCGAAGTGCTCAAACCACTTCCCACGAAACCATTCTGATTCGCTCAGCCTGAACTTCAAGTCATCTCTATACCTCAGCCGTTACCCGGTGCTTACAGCTGGTGGGGCTTAGGGTTAACTTTGAAAGACTACCAGTCGCCCGTGTAGCATTTTTCGGTGTGAAGTGTCTCTCCAGCAAACTCTCAACAGAACGCCGCGCCTGAGACAGGTTTATTGTAATCAGGATCCCCATATACAGCTCCTTAAAGCAGAAACTTCAAGTAAGGAGACCACCGACCTATTTTGGCCATGCCTGATTGTGCATGCCGATCATCCAATCCACCAGCGCGGTGCGGTTCGACAAGTGCGGCTCTATGGGATCCTGGTGGACCGGGAGGAAGATCCAGGGTTTAGGGTTCGGGGTTTAGATCTAGGGTTGAAGTTTTAGGGATGAGGGCATTTGCTTATAGTCCTGTCGTAGCTAAACCATAATACATCCGAAAATCCGAAAACACAGGAAAGGCCCGCATAAATTCTTTTTTGTTGAAAACTGTACAAATAAACCGAACAGGGCACTGATCCTTACCTTATACCGTAGTTGATGAGGGTTGGGGTATGTTGCACTAATGGAGCTTTACGGACATTTCAGCCCGAAAGCAATAAGTGAGTTGTATTTGAACACAAGTACCTATGTATAGGCACTCTACAATGGGACCATGAGGGATGTAAACAGATTCTTCCCCCTTCTTAGGACAGCAGCAGCTACGTTGTCGAGATCCCCATAAGTTCTTTTGGGGGATCCTGTAACGGTTCAGAGGAATCGTGGAAGGTTTCCGTTTTAAAGGAAGCCATAAAGAACACCCGCAAACCAGACAACTAAACCCGTATCCAAGAGCCTCACACGCTACCACAGCACGAAACCTTCCAACCCTGGAGACATCAAATAGAAGGATCATTTGCAGAAAATCGACGAGCAGATTCCTCGACACCGCTACGCCTCCAAACATCCACCAAGCAGCTTGGAGAATGGAACTTCCTAACATGTCCGACTCCCAGCCCCAGCCCTAGTCTCAACTCCACACACGGCCTACAAAGCCAAGGGGGCTGCCTTTATCCAACGTAGCCAGGCCCCGAATGTCCCGAAGCATACACCGGTTCCCCAACCTAAGGCCCTTGCTGTAGGGTTCAGGAAACCCTACGGGCTCAAAAGCCCTAATTGAAGTTGAAAGCCTAAGTTCAACCTAAAAGCCACCATAAGTAGAATGACAGGCTCGATGTAAAACGTCAATAACGAACTCCACGTTCAAAGCCACTTAGTAACTACGGGTATAAATAAGGTAACTATGCTTATAACTACTTATAACCCCATTGAAGGTAAATATAACCTTACTAAGTCCCATGACCCTCCAAGTACCGAAACCTAGCCCTAAACCCTAAACCCTAAACCCTAAACCTACTAAGTGCCATAACCCTCCAAGTACCGAAACCTAGCCCTAAACCCTAAACCCCTAAACCTTCCCTACTAAGTCCCATGACCCTCCAAGTATGACAAGGTCCATGCCTTAGGGGCTGAGTACCTTAGCCCCCAAAAGGTTAACCTTTTGAGTTATAGT